AAAGATCTTTGGAAGGATATAAAAAGAGAAAATAAAAGAAACTTGCTCTAGTAATGGACCCAAATACAAAGCTAAAAATGTATATTGTTCATAAGATATCAAAATAACTACATATCCAAATATAATGGAGTCCTGAATGTTGTGCTGCATTGGCCTGCTATGTGCTTTCATGGCTTATTGGTTGTTTTTTCTTGTGTGATTTAAAAAACCCAAACCCGCTCTGCTAATTAAGCTCGCCTTGGCCAGGAGCTCACTTGGATCTCTGACAGTTCCTAGTTAAAGCTCAGTTTATGGATTTTGACAGCAAACCAAGACCCTCTTGTTTGCTTCAGGAAAACTGGCTGGTTTTAGTCCCTGCCATTGTTCTGGGTTACCATCATTCTAACAAGTCATCAATTGTCTTGACCATGACTTAGAGTTGTGCCAGGTTTTTCTTGGTCACTTTTTGTTTCACACAGGTAGTACTAGAGTGGTGACATATTGTTCATTTTTAACTTATGACAAATTATCTAGAAAACAAGAATAGGTGATGTATTAAGGTGTCCATGCTGAACTACTACATATACATGGCTTTGGCATATATTTTAGTTCTTATATTTAATGCCTCTCAATTACCTTAGAATTCAGAAATTAAAAAATACCATAGAGAAAGGACATATTTAGAATGCATTTTTGGATAATATAACTCAATGTGAATAGTATCTAATTTTTTATAATTTTGTATAGATATTGGCATATTTGAGAATAGGAAAATAAACAGAGTCACAAATCTTTGGTATTTTAATTATTAAGTCTACCTCATCTCCCTTTTTGCATCTCCTTATCAGAAAAATGACCGAAGATTTTCCATCTAGTTGATATGAGACTTGTAAGAAATCTAATAATACTTGGATTTTTACAATTACTCAGTGTAACTAGTTTCCTAATCCTTAACCCTTTATAGAGTTCAGCTTGAAAGAAAATCCAAAACTTGTAAAAAATTAGAATTTTTTTTTTTACCATCTACAATATACTGGTGTGGCTTAGCTGAAACACTTACTGTGACCTTGAGAAAGCCCGTGGCTAAATTGGAGCAGTAGAGTAATGAAGGGCACTCCTTCTGCCACTACATGCTCTCCCCCCAAAAAAGAGGAGCAAATATTCATCCTAACAGGTAAGTGTTTTTATAATTATGGCAGATGGTGATTGAAGCAAAGGCAATTCAAAATGTAGGGTTCTGGGGGGGGCATGCAAAAGCAATAATTTTGAATGTTTGACATTTGTTTTGAAACTACCTTACTACCCTATCCCCTTTACCATCTGTCTGTTATCCCTCCCAACACCCACCTCTGTCTTCCCACAGGGCTCCATTGTCTGCAGTTCCTGTTTCTCAGGGGCGGAGCTGTGGGAGGCAGCCATGGGTGCCATAATAGGCACCTGCGGCCAGCACAATGGGCTGTGGGTGCTTGTGGGAGAGACAGATTGATGTATTGTGCATGGGGGAGGAGGGCTGTCACTTGAATCCATGTGAACCCAGGCTTTAGGGGCAAGGGAGATTGACAGCTTTTGTAGGTTGCATTTCTTTTTCAAAGCTTGGCTTTAATAGACAGTAAGTTTGGGGCCCCAGGCTTTCACTCCCATAATTCTAACAGGGCAATCACGAGCATTCAGCATTTCTTTTTACCCCCCTTGTTACGCATTAAATGATTTCAGTAAAGGAATGTGCAGCATTAATTAGAATTTGTTAGCAGATACCAAGGGGAAAAGTTTCTTCACAACAACTATAGGAGGTGTCATTTGTACAAAGACTTTTTTGTTTTCTTTCCCCATTACATTATCACTGCAATATGTAAGGTAGTGATTCTTTTCATTTAAATTAAGTGGAAAGCTACTAAATCTTGTTTTATTCTCCAAAAAGAATAAGGTCCTTAACACTTATCTTTTAACTTCTTTCATTTCCTAAGGTTGATGTTTACTTTTGCTTTCAGTCCGACCCATTTACTGATCTGTGTAGTTGTGTATCCAGTTTTGTGTACCATTTAGCTTTTACAATTACAGGCAACTCACTGTACTGATATACAAGGGCTGTTTCCAGGTAAAGTAGCTACCGTTGACATACCAAGCCCTTTTTGGTAATGGTACACTGAAAAATATTAAAAATTAGACTCCCTTAGGTTTACATCCTAAATTTATTTTCTAAAACCACTTTCCGCTACTTCTTGTTTAACCTTAGTCATGACATCAAATTTACAGAATGATGGGGTAGCATGCAAGAAATATTTTTCCCAACAAAAAGCTCATTCATAACCCATCATTTAGAAAGAAAAAAACTTATTTAAAAGCTGCTCTCCCTACGTAGATAGCATCATTTCCTTATAGCTAGGAAAAACTATCCTCTTTTGTATCTATTTTGTATTGTTCCCTTTTAATCCTGATATTTCAGATTTACATAGGAACAAAATTAATTTCAAATAGGATATCTTGTAAATACATTGTTCGCCATCTGTAAATGATAAAAATACTATTCAAGTTCTTGATATGATTTTTATAACATCTCATATAAAATCATTTTATATTGGAAGGAGTTGGAGGCTAATTGCATTAGAATTTTTTCTGTTTAATTGTTTTATTTAAATGTGTTAAGGGCAACAGTGAAAAATATTGATTAACTGTACCATTATTTCTGAGAAAGAACATATTCCCACACAGTTGTCTGGCTCTGTCTATAATAGTAATTTGGTGCAATGGTTTTAAAAGTGGTAGGGTGATAATAATTAGGGTGTGCGACAAAAATTTCAATGCTGGATTCAACATTTCACCATGCAGGGCATGAAAATTGCCGACTGGGGGCTAGTCGGCTCTAAGTACTAATTAACTAATTAATCAGGTGCTGAAACCAGCTGAATGGAGGATACCAGCCAGATCACTCAAGGCCAAACAGAGCTTTGCTCTTTAAAGACAGTACAGTCTTTCTTCTTGGTTTTTAACCCAATAAAAAATGGTGAAAGTAGGATATGGTGTCCTACTGTCACTCATGTCAGTTCAAGCCTTTTACTTAGAGAAAATAAAATAAAAACACGTGGCTTTGATAAAAGCCATGTGGTATCGTGTGCAGACAACCCTCATGGCTTTGGCATACCATAATTCCTTGGCCGTGGAATATTTCAGGTCTAATGGTGAGATGCGGCTTGAGAGGGGCCTCTGTCTTCTTGGAGTTTCCTTCGACAGTACTTTTTGACAGGAGAATGACAAACATAACTCTCATTTTGGGCTGATCTTATGTCTTTTGCCTCATCCTTCGCTTATGTAAATGAGAAGAGTCCAATTACACATATGGAAAAAGGGTTTAATGAATCGTGAAAAAGCCCAGTTTGCAGAGAAAGGGCACAATCCCCTCTTCTTCTTCTCTTTTAAATTTAACTTGGAAACATGTGTTTCTTTTAAGGAAGGTGATAAAGCTTAATTATTAGATCATTTTACTTTATGCACCAATTTTCTTACTTGAGAATTATTAAACATGTTTTGCTTGGAGATTCAGCTTTTATCTTTGTAAGGCTTTCTGGACGCTTGATTGATCTTCTACAACAAAAACGTCAAATTATAACTTTTCCCCCTACAAATTAAAAACATCTTACATGTTAGTTTCTACCATTTTGATATTATTCTTTGGTCAGTGGTAATTTTTCTTCTTTTTAACATTCTTTGCCCTGGAGATGGCTGCACTGAGAAAGGACTGCATCTTTCAGGGTATCAGTTATTGAACCCAAGGAAAGATGTTAGCATCCCATAGTGTTTTAGCTTGATGTTGGTATATTCTGATGTTTCTACTAACCAAATTTTGGGGAGTTCTGGAAGTTAGGTAACTCTCCCCACCCCCGAAGAAGGTACTAAATTAAAATATTAGAGCTTTGTTTTTGTTTTGGAATTTTCAGTAACCTAGAGCAGACCACACAGGACCCCAGCCTGCCCCAAGTTTTAATGATAAAAATCTGCAAGAATGGGGCGTGGTGCGGGAAGAGAACTGAGATCTTCTCTGACGGTTACTTCTAGAATTTGATGGCCATACAGTTAGTCCCAAAGAAGCCCTTTGCGGGGCCGCTAGAGGCGTTCTCAGTCACGACCGGAAGGGCTTTCCAAAAAACCGTCCAGAAACCTGCTTGGACACTTGGAGAAACTGAGGTCTAAGTAGTGCAGGTGGGAGGGAGGGCGAGCGCATCCCCTCATGTGATTTGTTTTCTTAGCAGAATACTTTTTCGGACCATGGAATACACTTTCCTGAGGCACCTGTGTATGGAGGATTGCTGGGGTCCAGCCTGCCTGCCTCTTCTTGAGGGCCGCGGTGTTTCCGACTCTACCCTCCCGGCCTCCCCGGATCGGTGCCCTGGATGTGATCGACACCATGAAGTTGCCCCATAATCCTCTCTGGCAACATAGGCTGTACAATTTGATCAGCTCATTGGATGAAGCCGACAAGTCCCCAAAATGTGTGAAAAGGGGGCCAAGAGGTAGGCAAGCGCGGCGCTGAGGCAGCGCTCCAGCCGCCCCCTCCCCCGCGTTCCCAGTGCGGCAGCGGCGGCGCGAGCGGGGGCTGGGGCCGGGCTCCGGGCCGCGGCGGCGGCGGTGACTAAGGCGGCGGGGAGGCCGCGGCGCCATGGGGGGGCCGTAGGAGCGCAGCGCGGGGCCGGAAGGGGCAGCGCGGCGGCGCCAGCGGCTGCGGGGTTATTTCTACGGCTGCGGAGACGGTGACCGCCGCGTTGCCGGGGGGCCGGGCCGGCGGGGCGGGGCGGGGCGTCCTCCCGGGGCCGCGGGCGGCTCGCGCCGGAGCACTTGGCCTCAGGGCCGCGCCGCCCCAGCTCGCCCGCCCGCCCGCCGGCCGGCGCACGCTGAGGAGGCGGCGGCCGCCCAGGAAGCAGCAGGGGAGAACCGAGCAGGAGGTGAGGAGGACGTGGAAGAGCAAAAGTAGGCGGCGGCGGAGGAGGTGGTGGAGGAGGCGCGCGGCCTGAAGGAGGCGGTGGAGGAGGATGGAGGAGAAGCCGAAGGAGGGCGAGGCCGGGGTCGCGGAGCCCTGGTTGTCCAAGTGGGAACGCCAGTGTCTGGCCGAGCAGGAAGAGCAGGAGCTGCCCGAGCTGCAGGAGGAGGCGGCCGCCGAGGCTGCGGGGCTGAAGAGCGAGCAGCAGAAGCTGTGGCATCTCTTCCAGATTTCAGCCACTGCCGTGGCCCAGCTGTACAAGGATTCTGGATGCCAACAGCCAGGAGGACTCTCCGTGTGGGACCCTTTCCAGCATGCGGCCATGGCCGTGACCAGCCTCTACAAAGAGAGCGGGAATGCCCACCGGCGAAGTTTCGAGCTAGGCGTGCAGGTTGGCTACCAGCGTCGCATCAAAGATGTGTTGGAGTGGGTGAAAAAGGGCCGAAGCACCATTCGTCGCGAAGACCTGATTAGCTTTCTCTGTGGCAAAGCACCCCCCAGCCCAGCCCCACCACGCCCTCCCAGGATGTCCCCGAAGCCGCCCACCGGGGCCACTGGGCCAGGCACGGCCACCGAATCCAGCTCGTCTGTGGACGTCGACCTGCAGCCTTTCCACGAGGCCATCGCGCTGCACTGCCTCAGCGGTGCCATGGCGGGCATCAGCATGCGCTCTGGCGCTCCTGGCTCCCCGTCTCAGGAGAGTGCTGTCGCCAGCAATGGACGCCGAAGAAATACCTTCTTTGGGGATGGCCTTGACCCCGAAGAAGTTGCCCAACACCTGGACAGTGGGGGGACCCGCAAGCGCAGCTCAGCCTGCTGCGGTGATGGCATCACAGACTCCCCAACCTATAAGCGCAACCGAATGGCCTAGACAGATTGTTGGGTCACTGGTTACAGAGCAGCACATTGCCTGAGCGCTAACTTGACTTGCCATTCACTTGTCTGGAGATCATCTTTCTTCCTTCCTTAAGTTAAACAAAGATTTCTATCAAGCTTGCCATAAAGAAACTGTTAAGGAATATCAGAAGAGGCCTCATATGACTCTGACTTTCCCAAAAATATAATTGTAGCAGAGAATATCACATGTCATGTAGTAGTTAACAAGATCACTTACAGCATAAGTCTCCAGTCAGGGCAGCAGCCTTGTTAACAGTTACAGTGGCACCCAGCACAGTTGCTGGTGCCCAATAAATGTTGAGTGAATAAATGTGACCTTATTTGAGATTCTTAAATGGGAAGGACAGAGCAGGTATTAACTTGGTGATTGGATAGTTTTATCCTTACCATTTTGGTTGCTGGTTCTAATGGTTTGCCAATTCAGTTGCATTGCACAAAAATGTAAAACTTGACATCTTTGTGAAATCTGGAGTTTTCTGTTTCTACTCCAATGTACCATGCACCTGATGTCTCAGAAAATGTGCACGTAATGTTTACTAGGCTGTGCTTAACTTGAAAAATAGTGAATGATTTTGGTGATTATGATGGTTGGGTGGGTAATATTTAGTATTGAGGTAATAATTCATGCACTTTTAAGGAAAAAAGCAACAGTTGAGAGCCTAAGATTGTGTACCTTGGTGGCCCCGTGGTGCTTTTTTTTCCCCTTAGAAATGTAAAAAGTTCCTTTTTGCAAGTTTACATCTTCTTGGTGATAACTGTTTTTAAGTGGAAGATCAAGTAGAATGAACTTCTGGGTTTTATTTTAAGCAAGGTAAAATAAGGTCCTCTCCCTGGTGGCCCACTGATGCGCCTTTTTCTTAAGAGTGTAAAAAATTCCTTTTTCTGAGGGTACATCTTTTTGGTGATACTGTTTTAAAGTGCAAGATTGCAAATTCAGAACGGTCTTCTGGGTTTTGTTTAAAGTTACATCATAGTAGAACTGAAAGAGTGTGTGTGCTTTCTATGTAAAGGACCAACAGTGGAATAATAGCTCCACAAATTAACTGCATGATTTTGGGAAAATCATTTAATGTCTACTGACCTCAGTGTTTCACCTGTAAAATGGAACTATGTCTTCCTGAGGTCATTGTGAGGATCAGGTGAAGTCCATATTTAAGTGTCTAGCTCAATGCTGAGCACATAAATGCACTCAGCAAGTGTTCTTTCTCTAAAAGCAGGGACTGGTGTTGCATAGCGGGTAAAGCTGCCACCTGCAATGCCAGCATCCCATATATGGGCTGGTTCATGTCCCGGCTGCTCCACTTCTGATCCAGCTCCCTGCTGACGGCCTGGGAAAGGCAATGGAAGATGGCTCAAGTGTTTGGGACCCTGCCACCCATATGGGAAACCTGGATGAAGCTCCTGACTTTGGCTTGCCCCAGCCTTGGCCATTGTGGCCTTCTGTGGAGTGAACCAGCAGATGGAAGATCTGTCTGTCTCTGTAACTCTGACTTTCAAATAAATAAATAAATCTTTATAAATAAAAACCAATGAAACATTAAATCCATTACATTTTAGAAAAAGCAGTAAAATACGTCAATTTAGACATCACCAGATAGAACATCTGTGTTTAAGCTGATAACCACTGTTTTGTAGTTTCAACTTGTATAAATCACCAAAGGCAGGTATGCTAAGTGCAGTGCGCTCCTGCATGCTCAGAATCACAGCTCTGGAGCCTGGGACCCCCACGGCAGTCTGCAAATTGCCTGAGACTTGCACTTTGTAACCAGGGTACCAGAAGATCCACCTCCTTCCAGAAGGAATATGGGGAAAGAGGTGAGGATGGAAAGGATTGGAAGGAAAGGTCCTTCAAGGATTTAGAAGTGGAAGTCCTTTAGTCAAAAGATTAAAGTGGTCTTGAATGAAGGTGGACTAGATTGGTGATGAGTGAGATTAGGGAAAGAGTGCCGGCGTGTTAAAAAGTCCAATTTCCCTTAGAACCTTCCCCAAACTAATTATCATTAGTAGATAAGAAAATTTTGCCTCGATTTTCCTGTGGGCGGGGGAGGGAGCTGTTTCTGCTGTTACTGACATGGCCTATGGTGTAGATTTGTAATTGAGGAATGCATTAAAATTAAACAAAATCACTTCTATGATAGAGTAAAAAGTTGGGATTGCACTCCAGAAATACCGAGGCATTGTTCTCGGTCCCAAAGACTTAAAGAAACATAAAAATAACCCTTACTCTCAGAGTATGTCCTACATCAGATAAGAAATTAGGTAGCCAAGAAAAACATTCCTAACTTGGGGGAAAAAATCCCAGAGAGCTGTGCAGGATTCATGGAGTTGCTCTGCTTGCCATAAGGGTCACAGCTTCAGGAGGAGGTGGCATTTGAACTGGGCCCAGAAAGAAAATGGGTAGAAAAATCACATGTAGGAAGCAACAGAGTCACCGTATGCAGCAGAGTCTGAGGAGGAAACGGGCAAGTGGGTCAGGAAGGCAGAAGCCAGAGCCTGAAGGTTCTCAGGTAGCCGGCTCAGTACTAGATTTATCCTGGAGCAGGAAGTGATTCCACCCAGTTGCGCTGGCAGATGATTGATGAGGCAGGATGCCTGCTTGTTTCAAAGTGAGACTCTGGAGCAGGGACAGTGTAAGGTTATCCCTGTAGGACGCTCTTTGGTGGGAACATTGCTGTTCGGTTAATCAAGGCTTGGAAAACATTGGAATAGCTTTCCCTGGGCAGCCTTTGTTCAAACTGCAAGGCATACAAGATTGGAAGCACCTGTGGTGTGTTCTGTGGCGCTTTGTGTAGGGTAAGAAAGCCTTCACTTCCAGCTGCAGTATCTCTTGAAAGGTCTGTCTTGAAGAAAGGGAAAAGAGCCATGCTTTTGAATTTTTGGAATTGTTCCTTCTTTCTGTGCTGGAAAGCTCTCCAGTAGAATCATTGGGGGCATTCTGCCTAAAGAATTCATTGAGAAAGCACAGCAATTTTAGCAAATGGGTAAGGAGAATTGTAAGAGGGCATGTCATCTGAAGGCAAGAGACTTGATTTGTTTACTTCTGCAATTTCTAGTGCCTGACACAATGCCTGTTCTGTATGGGTACAAAGTACTTGCTAAATGAGTGGATGAGTAGGCCCCCTTCCAGACCCAAGCATAGCTATTCCCCTTTTTTAATTCCCTATCCACCCTTTTTTTGTTGTTGTTGTTTATCTACTGCCCAGTGAAGGCACCTGAAGCCCACACCCTAGTTTCTAGAAGATTGCCCCCTGTGTATCTTTATCCTCATCTTCTCTAACTATTCAATTCAACTTTTGGCCTAGTGCATTTGCTCTCATAACCATCATCTGTGAGAATTCCCTGAGGAGCTTGTGAAACTGGCACTTTGCAAACTGCCTTCCAGCTGACTTAGAATTTTAGTGCAGATGTCTCAAAGGCCATCTGCTTTCAGGAGGAACTCTTGGGAATTGGGATGCGTGGTAAAGTCTGACCCTTATTCTGAGTTTTGTGATTGAATCAAGGGACTAAGTTCCAGCTGATAATTTTTGATAACCTTTCTCATTAGGCCTCAAGTGAATCTTCCCATTTGGAGATATTATCTTTATTATCATTTTGCATCTGTCATATATTTTCTTTCTAGGAGTTCTGGTAAGACTAGTAAGTGAAATGTCCTCATTTCTACTTTTTATGGTAACCTGAGGGAAATCTCTGGCTTCTTAACCTCTTGCTGAATGTTTTATCCATTTAGTTCTTGATCAAAATTACTTGCACTCTGAGGGCTATACATTTGACCTAGCAATTAAGACACCTATATCCCATGACAAGTGCCTGGATCTGTTCCAGATCTGTTCCTAATTCCAGCCTCCTGCTAGTGCGTACTCTGAGAGGAAACAGATGATGGTTCAAGTAGTTGAGTCCAAACCATCCACAAGGGGGATCCAGAATGAATTTCTGGTATGGGTCTGGTCCAACCCTAGCTGTTGCAGACATTTGGGAAATAAACGTACGAATGTGAGGTCTCTGTCTCTCAAATAAATAAAAACATAAATTAAAAAGTCACTTAGCAATTGAGAGTTAGGAAATATTTTAGGTCATTTTGCCTTTTATGAAATGATGACGGAGTAGGGGTCAGAGTGGATTGTTTGTGGGTCAACCTGGGCTTTTGTGGAGGTACGTGGACTTCTGTGTTTGGTCTTCTAGTTATACCTGCATGGTGGTTGCTTTTCAAATACAGCCAAAGCAACCTTGAGCATCACCCAGGGCAGGGTTAACTACTCATTTTACAGAGCAGCTGACCTTACGAGGAAGGACCATAGTGACTTATTGGTCAGTTCCAGTCAGTTGCTCCTGTCTTTATACCTCCCTTATATTGTTATATTGTGTATGACCTTTGGATTAATATGTTGATGGTTGGGTAGAGCTGGAGAATTTGTATTATGAAGCCACTCTGATATGGCGAGCCTACCTTTTACTATGTAGTGTTTATTTGTGGTGAACTGGGAATTGTGCATTCAAGAAGCACAACTCACCCCTGGCCACCATTATTCTACTACTGTAGCCACTAACCAAACTGAAGCAATTGAAGTTTACCGAAGTTTCAGTCTGGACTCTGATAGCTCCTTTCGTCTGGAATGTTCTCCCTTTCCTTGTCTAACTCCTACTGAAGAGTCAAAGAATACCACAGGCTTTATTATTGTAATTATTATTTTCTTTGTCCCTTTTGGTCTGAATTAAATGATCTTTCCCCACAAAGGTCCTACTCCCCCCTCCCCCTATTTTTAAGGTTTATTTTATTGATTTGAGAGTGACAGAGAGAGGAATATCCTACTGGTGCACTCTCCAAATGGCTGAAATTGCCAAGGTTGGGGTAGGCCAAAGCCAGGAGCCTAGAACTCCATCTGGGTTTCTCCTGTGTATGGCAGGGGCCCAAGCATGTGGGCCATTTTCTGCTGCATTCTCAGGCCTTTTAGCAGGAAGCTCGGTCAATGGTGAGGA